TATTTATTTATTTCTTAAAGTATTGACAAAATCGAGGGTCAACATGAAATTAAAAGGCCTACACAAAGTACAGAAAATAATTACAATAGTATCACCGACCCGATGGGGGTATTTTATTTGCCAGTTCGGCCAGCTACGTCCACGTTTCACAGCCAAATATGGTCAGTGATACTACTGGGACTATGAAAAGAAAGTGTTAAAAAGAAAACTTAAAAAATATAGAAATATATAAATATTAAGTATAGATAATACAATAATTAAAATAATTCGTAAGATAAAAAAAAACACACGCACACACACAGAGATACACACGCACGCATAAACATGCATTGGCTGCAGTGGTGGCTTACTATAGGAACCTAATTGTTCAATAACTTTTATTGTGGATGTACTTTATGTTTCAGATTATGATTATAACATGGATATGCATGCCAAAGCACAAGTCCCTAGTATTTGAAATACGCCTTTTACAAATGTCAGGGGGAGTGGGTGAATTAGGGGTGGGGGGTAAATTTTGACAAAAACCGAAATTGTATAAAATGCATATAAGTATACATAAAAAATTTGGAGACTCTAGCTTTAAAGATGTAGGAGATATAAATTTATTACTGGTTTTCGATAACGTTTTTAATCGATAACAAAATAGCGGGGCAAGTTATCGATATTTAAAGCAAAACTCGATGTTCATGCACATGCATGAACATAAAAATATGATAAGTAGGGGAACGTACGCGCTATGCACTCGACAGCTAGCATAAAATAAATAACACATGTTTCAAGTGTGAACTGTCAAACTGGGCATACATTATGACCCTGACCCTTAGCGATTAGAATACGTAAGAGGCGAGCGCTGAGCATTACAAACTCAGCGATAGCATAATAATAGCTAATAAACCAATGCGGAGTCTTACAAACTACGCGATAAGTTAATAATATGTAATAGACCAATGCTGAGCCTTACACACTCAGCAATAGAAGCACTAGATTTAATGGTTGAAATTATACATGAGTCTGGGTATAAAAACCCGGGCCCAGCAGAATAAAGAATCAATACGAAACTAAACACCAACATAGTAAAGTGTATTCGTTCACTCGATATGCGCGTGCTATACACGAACCTAGGATTTCAAGTCTCTAGCTCTTATATCTTCTGAGGTCGACGCGTTCAAAGATACGGACAGACGGACGGACGGACAGATGGACAGAGCTTAATCGACTCAGCTCGTCGCCCTGATCAAGAATATATATACACTATGTGGTCTGCCACGCCTCCTTCTGCCTGTTACATACATTTAACAAAACCATTATGCCCTGATTTCCCATTGAAAATGGGTTCAGGGTATAAAAAGAGAAAAACAAAAAGAAAGAAATATTAAAGATTTAGTAAAGAAAAGAAAAAGGAAAGATTAAAAACTGTTGCAAGAATAGTTGATAATGACAAAGAATAACAAATAATAAATGAAAAGAGTAAAGGAAGAGCCAAAATAGAATAAAGGATAGGGTTGAGAAATCACTACACAAAATTGGCAACAAAATCTATACCAGTGCTTATGCCTGGGCACTGAGAGTGATTTCCCGAAGATAAGCTAAAAGGATTTTATTTTAAGAAGAGAGAGCTCTAAGGAAAATACTTGATAATATTTATTAAAATTAACACAAAGAACATGAAACGCACTGTGCGAAGAATAATCCGTAGTGCACACAGGTAAATGAAGCGGACGAAAGTGTCTAGTTGTTCCGTACGGAACCGACAAATTTAGACGACCCAACAAAGAGGACGAATCAATATCACCACTAATCAATTTATGCAGAAAAACAATTCCTAAAATTGTTCTGCGATTGGTTAGCGATGGAAGATCAACAAGCTGGAGCCTACTATGATAAGACGGTAATCGTAAATTACTGTCCCATCTAAAATCTCTTAAGGCAAGGAGAAGAAACTGTTTTTGAACCGATTCGAAACGATCCTGACACAGTTTATGCTGCGGGGACTATACAACTGAGCAATACTCTAAGATAGGACGCACAAGCGAAATAAATAATTGCTTGATAATCAAAGGATCTTTAAGTTCCTTAGGCCAAGCCAAGCACACTTTTGGCTTCATTAATGATGGCTTCATAATGATGGCGTGTGGCTAGACGGAAGCCGCGCTTCAATGATGCTTATAAAAAGAAGCGTTTGAACTACACTAAGGAATATTTTAGCAAGCAATCTGATTAAAGTCAAGTCTTGTTCTGTGATGAATGCAAATTCAATATATTTCGATCGGATGGGCGTAAAACTGTTTGAACAATTCCGAATACTGCGTTTCACAAAAACAATATTACGCCATGATTAAGCATGGTGGTTGTGGGGTGTTTGTCTGGGGTTGCATATCTGCTGCAGGTGTGTGCGAATTGGTATTTATAGACGGTATAATGGACAAACATTTATATCTAAATGTTTCGAGTGATAACCTTTGAACAAGTGCCGAAAAGCTAGAACTGCCAAGTTCGTTCACATTTCAACATGACAACGAGCATTCTGCCCATATAATACCGCCCATGTGTTTCTCCACCCACCATAATCTCCAGACCTAAATCCAGTTAAACACTTTTGGAAAAAATTGGATAGGCCCATCTCAAAGCGGGTAATCACAAATCAAGCTCTTATCGAAGAATGGCAAAAAATTAGTGAAGACGTCACTAAAAATAATTTTGTTCGATGCCAAACCTCTTATCTTGCATTATTAAAGGGTTAAATGTTTACATACCTAATGTTATAGTTATTATCATTTTTTTTTTCATGATATTTTTATGTTTTTAAAGTTTGATTTTGGTGTGGCCAAAATTTTTGTTCAGCAAAATCGAGTTTTATTATTGGATTTAAAAAAAATGCACGTTAAAGTTTTTCGCAATATTCTTACTGTATAATTTAATAAATACCGAATTCTATTTAGTAAATTTTTTGTTTTATTAAAAAAACGTTAGAAAACACTACAAATTTCTACAAAGTTTAAAAAAAAACAAGTAAGAAAGCTCTAGTCGAGACTACTCGACTACGAGATCCCCTGAACCCTTGGAGTAATAGCTATTTCAATAATTTTTCGCGTCTTTCAGCTTACACAAGAAACACGCACACACACACACGCACGCACACACACACAGGCATACATACACACACATACATACACACATACACACACACACACAAACACACATACACAAACAATTACATACATATACACACACAAGCATAAAGACGCATGGGCGACAGTGAGCGCTTACTATGAGAACTTAATTGCTTAATAACTTTTTTGTGGACGTACGATCTTCATGAAACTTTCAGATTATGATTATGACATGGATATGCATGTAATTGCTAAAGCACAAGTCTCTAGTATTTGAAATACGCTTTTTACAAAAGTGAGGGTGAGGGGGTGAATTTAAGGGTGGGGGGTAAATTTTAACAAAAACCGAAATTGTATAAATTGCATATAAGCATACATTAAAAATTTGGAGACTCTAGCAATAAAGGTGTAGAAGATATAATTTTATAACTGGTTTTCGATAAAAAATATCGGGATGAGTTATCGATTTTTAATGATAAACTTGATATGCGCGCTGTAATTACGAACATTTAAAAAAAAATTTGAAGTCTCTAGCTCTTATATCTTCTGAAATCGACGCGTTCATACATACGGACAGACGGACAGACGGACGGACGGACGGACAGACGGACAGACAGACGGACAGGGCCAAATCAACTCAGCTCGTCGCCCTGATCAAGAATATATATACTTTGTGGGGTCTGCCACGCCTCCTTCTGCCTGTTACATACATTTCAACAAAACCATTATACCCTGATTTCCCATTGAAAATGGGTTCAGGGTATAAAAACCTGCTGAGCATTGGCTCAGTTCGCAACCGTAAATACAGTTTGGCAAGAAAGTGTTTACACACAGGGAAAAAATTTTTATTTTTTACTTTGAAGCGAAATAAAAGCAGTAAGAATTGCATATGCAATTTTTTTTTTATGAAAATAGGTAAATTAGACTATAAACTATATAAGTAAAAAAAATAAAAATATGTTTCCATTAACAAAAGAAAATAACAAAAAACAAAAGAAGTAACCAAAATCAGCTGACAAGAAAGTGTTTACATAACTAAAACAATTAATTCATTTTTGTGTTTTAACTACTTTGTAGTTAAAACTAATACTTTTTTTGGCCACCGTTGGCATCTATGACTGCTCCCAAGCATCTATTCATCGATTGGACCAAGTTTCTGACATATTCCACCGGGATATTTTGCCATTCTTCCAAAACAATGGTTTTCAGCTCATTTTTATACCCTGAACCCATTGAAAATGGGAAATCAGGGTATAATGGTTTTGTTAAAAGTATGTAGCAGGCAGACGAAGGCGTGGCAGACCCCACAAAGTATATATATTCTTGATCAGGGCGACGAGCTGAATCGATTTGGCCCTGTCCGTCCGTCCGTATGTATGAACGCGTCGATCTCAGAATATATAAGAGCTAGAGACTTGAAATTTTTTTTCCTACACGCGCATATCAAGTTTTTCTTTATATATCGATAGCTACTCCCGATATTTCATTATCGATCAAAATCCTACACCTTCAGAGCTAGAGCTTGCAAATTTTAAATGTAGACTTATATCCACCCCCTCACCCTCACCTTTGTAAAAGGTGTATTTCAAGTACTAGAGACGTATGCTTTGGAATGTACATACATTTTCACCATATGATTACGCCCTGAAAGTTTCATTAAGATTGTACGTCTAGAAATTAAATTATTCAACAAATAAATTCTTATAATGTTGCCCACACTGCAGCGCAGCCCAAGCGCAGTCGCTGCTTACTGCGCAGTTAGCAGAGCGCGTTCTAATACGTGCGTGTGTATGTATGTGTGTCGAAAAGAAGTGCAGACTGATTAGAATATCAAATTAGAGGGTTCAGGGTATCTCCTAGTCGAGCAGTCTCGACTAGAGTCTTCTTACTTGTTATTCTTTGGATGCCTCTTGGCGGTCCTCTTCTTCAGATAAGCCCACAAAATCTAAACGAGGCTTAAGTCCAGGATTTTAGCTTGCGCATCCAACACATTTTCCAGTTATAAAGTAGCCAGCACTTCACAATATGTGTCTTATGTTTGGGATTATTGTCTTGACAAAACCTAAAAGTTGGTTTGCCATTGACAAAGAACCCAAATTTGTTGGTACTACTTACTAAATGTGTGCGCAAAATGTCCAAATACTGTGCAACATCCATGGTGTTCTCAATAAAGCATAGATATTCAACTCCTTTGCCAGCAAATCAGCAGTCGGTATTATATTTTTCTTCTCGAGGGCTTTTAGGGGCTCGCGCCACTCTCTAGTTGGACCATTGTTATAATATACCATCATTTTGGATTCATCGCAAAATATTGCATCATCCCGATATGAATTTGGTTGATTTCCGTACATTCTAGCAAACGTTAGACGCTTTTTAGCGTGATCTACCGACATAAGTGGTTTTTTCCGGGCTGGTCGGGACGACAGATCGTTACGTTTTAGTGCTCTTCTGACACTTTCCCGGGAAATGGTTATGCCACACTCCTCCTTCAGCGCACTGACAAGCTTCCTGGTCAAAATAGTGGATTTCTCGTTCATTTTTCTGAGCATAATTCGCTCTGCTCTGGGTGATAATAGACGAAGCCGTCCTTTATCTTTAACCTTTAACCTTTAACTCAAGCCTATCCTCTTTTTTATTGCACGGCTTAGTATGTTATATACCGTTTTCCAAGAAATCAAAAACATTTGGCCAATCTCTGTGGCAGTTTTACCCACCAGAGGCATCCAAAGAATAAAACTGAGCTGAAAACCATTGTTTTGGAAGAATGGCAAAATATCCCAGTGGAATATGTCAGAAACCTGGTCCAATCGATGAATAGACGCTTGGGAGCAGTCATAGATGCCAACGGTGGCCAAAAAGAGTATTAGTTTTAACTAAAAAATACTTAAAACACTATAATGAATTAATTGTTTTAGTTGTGTAAACACTTTCTTGTCAGCTGATTTTTGTTACTTCGTTTGTTTTTTGTTATTTTCTTTTGTTAATGGAAACATATTGCAATTTTTTTTACTTACTAATATAATTTATAGTCTAATCTACCTATTTTCATTCAAAAAAATTGAATATGCATATTCTTGTTGCTTTTATTTCGCTTCAAAGAAAAAATTAAAAAATTTTCCCTGTGTGTAAACACTTTCTTGCCAAACTGTGTACGGTCACAATCACTTATACTTTTATAAGACATTATAGTGATATGGAATTCATACACATACATATGTACATATGAACGTTAAATGTATGAGCTTAGCATATAAAATATGCTCTAATACAAATTATAATGTAAATAAATAATTCTTTTTGTTGTTATGAAGTGCTTACTTTATACACACGCATATAATGAGAAATATAAATATTCATAATATTTCACATGTATCTAGTACGCTTATCACTGAAGTGTTGAGAATGGAATAGCATTCATGTATGTACTTACAAATAAAATATTTTATATTTCCAGACTTATATTTTTCATTAATATTTCCTAAGACTTTAGGCAGAGAAAAATATTTTAAGAAATACGTCTGCGGCATATGTTTTTTGTTTTAACTATTAAATGTTTTCAACAAAACTGTCCACATTACTGTTGATTGCTCGACAACCCAATCGCAAACTAATGACGGCAAATAGTCCTTGAAATAATCGACATGAATTGGAATGGAACATACTCTGCGATTGTCGATTAATTTCAAATTCCATGTACATATGTATATACCACCACTGACCAGAGAACACATGGACTAGACATGTAGAACAAATTTTTCTAAAGCAGAAAATGTTAAGTTGGTCGACCACTTTACTTCGTATTTGCTCGGCTCGGTCGCTGGAGGTTCGAGCAGTGAAAATATTGCACGACAAAAACAGTGCGCTGTGAGCGCTCAGTCGAAATGGTCGTGATTATGTATGAAGCACATCTATGTGCCATTTGTCCTACTCTCTCTCTCTCAGTTCCTCTCTCTCGCTCTCTATGGTCGCTGAAATCATCACTCTCAGCGGCGCACAAAAATTGAAATTTTTGTTCGCGACGATTTTTGGGAAGGGTATGAAAGTGTAGATGCGCATAAAAAATATGATTTCGCGACCGGCAAGCCACACTTGCACACTTAGTACATGTATGAGCATATGTATGACAGTGTGCGAAGCTCTTTCAGCCTGTAGCAATTTTAAAGCCCAGCATTTGCATTTGGTCGGTCTTGTACATGTATACATTTGATTGTGTGTGTGCTCGCATGGGATGCGATGCTCACAATTATGGAATAGCACTTGTAGAAGCATTTATATACTGTGCGCCTTTACATGTGCGTGTGTGAATGTACATGTGTGTATGCATGGGACATGAACATTGGCGTGTGCCTACCTCAACTTAAAATTGGTTGACCGATTTAGGGTTGTAGAATCGCATTTCTATTTAAGTACCTTTTCTTTTGTATCAATGATCGTGTGCTTGCTTATCGAAGTCATCAATTCATAAAAACAATTGTTTCAAATAGGAATCTGTTTAATATTATTTCATAAATTTAATAAATGTAAAAATAGAAAACATAAAATTCAATATATATGTACCTAAAAACAAATCATTAATAAAAACAAAGATAATTCAATAACATTGGAAAATAAATTTATAAATGTACATTTATACGTACATATGTATGTGTTCGCACGCACAGGCTGTTGTGCACATAAGGAATACATCTTCGCGACGAGCATGTACACACACATTTACAGTCCCTTGCTACATGTGTGGGCTTTTGTGTGCGTGCGGCGCGAAAGTCAATTCTTTCTCAGTATTTTCGTCAATCGTCAGTTACCGTCCCGTTTTAAATGTACATGTATGAGCTATTATGTGCTAGTATGGGAAACTATTCTTGCTGCCTGAGGAATATTGTAAGTGTGTATGCTCATAATACGTGAACATTGGCTTGTGACTGCCACGAGTTTTTAATTGTGCGAGCGATTTGGAATTAAATCTGCAGAGAGAGTGCTAAACGGTATTTAATTGTTGGAGTGGTGGCGTCGCCGATAAGCAAAAAGACCGGGTTGTAATTTCCTCGTCTTTATTTCTAAGATTAAAGCTGTGTTGCTCGTATAGCATTAGTAATAAGATGTACATATGTCTCGTCAGTACCAGGAGAGGCAAGTGAGGCAAGTCGAAGTACTCAGCGGGCGCTAAGTACCGCGAACCAGTAGGAGAACTGGGTGATGTTATTAACAGAATGCTGTTAACAACGTAACATTGTGTGGTGCGGGAGGAGCAATTCTTGTTAATGGGATCTGGCATTAACATACTCCCCCCCCTTGCAAGGATTGCAAATTAAGACGTCGTGTCCAAGCTGGAGACCTCTTGCTGTGCGGATCAAGGTCGTCAGCGGAGCTGTGACCGCCTGTTTAGGAGTCGAGGCGGAGAGACGTGCTGATCCCTGGAGATGCAGGAGCGTGTGGTGATTCTGGCCACACGTTTTGCAACGTCCCTTGCTTCGGCAGGATTGCCCGGAGTGCTCGTGAGCCAAGCAGTTCGTACAGTACTTATGTGTAAGTACCGCACGCATCCGCTTCTCCCCTGAAAGGCCCAGAAAACGCTGGCAATCCCGGAGACCGTGGGCTCCTGGGCACACGCGGCACTGGAAGGAATTGGTACCGCGTGGCTTGCTGCTTTCTGATGACGGCGTCTTTATCTGGAAGATCGAATGAGTTGGAGGTAGAATTACTTGCTCGTTAGGACACAACATGGAGGTTAGTTTGACAGCACAAGGAGGACGAGGATCGGGTTGAAATGATGGGCCTGAATGAAGAATATCATTCAGTGCTGGACGAAGAGCCTTGAAACCGACCCTCACTTTCGGAGTGGTGCTGTTTGGAGCTCGGAATGGAAGAGCTTCGTCAGATGATACGGTTGGCGGAGACTCAAGTTTCGCCTCTTCCGAAACGGAAACCTGAGTTGTGAAGGAGGAGACCGTTCCTGGTATCATCTGTGACAGTGGGCCTGTCAGTACCCAACCGAAAACATTCTCCAGACCTATAAGAGGCCCACAAATATTAGGGTGATAACCTCCCTGAATGATAGTCGGAAGGATATCCGCGCCTATCAGGACATCAATTTCCGCACTCTTGTAGAACTCGGGGTCAGCTAGCTGAATTTTCGGAAGTTTGTTTAACAAGAGTTGCGGAACTGGGGACGAAGGGATGTTACCAGCCAGATTTGGAACGACGAGAGCAGAAGCCTTGATTCGCATTCTCGGCTTCAACGGAGAGCCAATATCAAAGTTGCATACCTTGTGTGCCTCAGCTGTCACTGCTTGATTCAGGCCGGAGACCTGAGTATGCACGGACTTGAATGGCAACTTGATTTTTCGGAACAGTCGCTCAGAAATGAAAGTCGCTTCGGACCCTGAGTCGACTAAAGCACGGGCGGGATAAGTTGCGCCGAAATGGCATATATTAATCACCGCCGTGCCGAGGAGGACACCTCGTGTGTTGGCAGCCAGATACGTTTGGACGTTGGACATAACTGGAGTACGAGTCGGAGCTATAGCTGTTGCGGAGGCAGCAGCGGTCCGAAGAGTATTGTCCCTATGGAGTAGGGTGTTATGTCGACCATTGCACGTGAAACAGTTGTGAGTACTGGTACACTCTCGTAACTGGTGACCTTTAGCGAAACAGTTTAGACAAAGCTTCTTCGATTTTATGTAAGTTTCTCGTTCATGAATGGATAGTTGGAGAAACTGATGGCAGAATCGGATTGGATGATTCTCTCTTGAACACAGATCGCACCTTGTGCCGATTGTGTCCACTTGCGTTCTGAACGAGTTCAGTCGTTCGGGAAGGGCAGGGTTCGCAGATCTCGGAATTGAGTTCGGAACTTTTGGAACAGAACGGTCACCTTCCATAGCTTCAAGAGCACGAGCGCGCTCGCTAAGGAAGTGACTGACGTCCTGCCAGGCTGGGATTTCTGTTTTTCGTTTCAATGAATGCTCCCAGAGAGATCGAGTTTGTTCCGGCAAATTTGAAGTGCACAGGAACACAAGAATGCAATCCCAACTTTCAGTGGATATCTGAGCATGCTCGATTGCCGTGACACATCTGTGCATAGTGCTATGCAACTCTCTGAGAGCCGAGCCTGACTCCTTGGTGATCTTGGAAAGGTTGAGAAGAGTTTTAAGCTGGCTGTTGACTAACAGCCGCTTATTCTCAAACCGATCACACAAAGAGACCCAAGCCGATGCAAAGCCGTCGTTTGTGAGAGGATACTCTGCGACTAGTGCGTTTGCATCGCCTGCTGTTTTTGAATTAAGGTGGAATAGCTTTTCCACCGGAGTTAAACACGGATTGTTTATGTAGATCGCAGTAAAAAGATCGCGGAATGTTGGCCAGCGCAAGTAGTCGCCGTGGAACACTTCCATGTCAACGGGTGGAAGGCGACAGCCTTCAGACGTGGCGAAAGGAGCGGACATAGGAGCGGGCGGTGTACTCGATGCGGAAAGTGCGTCGATCTGTACACCCAGATGGGTCGTACACCGCTCGTAGACTGTGTAGCAGTTGTCGAATTTGGCCTCCGTGGCTTCAACTTCGCCACTGCTTGCCCCTTGGCTCAATGCTCTGGCACAGACCTTATATTGCTGCTCAGCATCATCCCACAATGCCTTGACCCGATCTCGACGGATCTCGAAGGCCCGGAGCTGAGCCGCCTGGGTGGCATTAGAGTCTCCGGGACCGTCAATGCGCGACTCAAACTTGATGAGCCTATCCGCAGCCGAGATGAAGTCAGACAACGACATTTTAGACGGACTGGCGGGCTTTATACTGGATCGGGTGACGACCGGACTACGCTTGAAAGTGCTGCTTGTCTGCGGTTTCCCGGACGGAATGGGTGATGCAGAGGCACTGCGCTTGATCAGACGCGAAGCTGGTACACTAAGTTGCGCTCGACCCGAACGATCAGACATGGATGCTAACTAGAAGTTAGCTGCTGGAAATTTCTGATATGGAGACAGAAATTCACTCAAAGAGCAAAGTAATTCAGTTGACAAGAGCAAGAAAGTTGTCAACTGAACGTAGAGCAAATTGGAAAAGAATTATTGCCTTGTTAAGCAAGTAAAGCGAAAACAAAGAAGAAGAATATTTATTTAATTAGGATAAATTTAATAATTAAAAGGGTGGCTTTATATTTTGCTTTACAATGGCTCTTTGAAATACGATAAATACTGATCGTGACACAACTATCGTCAGAAATTGTGGCGGCCGGTGATAGTTATTGAAAATGTTATCGATACTAGTGACGATCTCAGCTGCTTGGACACAAAACAAAACAACCAATTTAACAATTTAAGTTTATTATTTTGTAAATGTGTCGTGTATATGTATGTGGAAGTTGCAATTGTGAATTTACATATATGTTAATTGTGTTGCTTGGCTATTTGTACGCCATATGTTGTCATATGTGCATACATGGATGTGTATGTATGTATGAGCGTATGTTCGTACAAACAGAAGAAAGCGGACACACAATTAGCAAATAGTTAAATAAAACAAGTAGAAATAATTATGCTTGGAGGATTAATTATTAAATTGCAAAATAAAACTATTAAAAATAACAAAGGATAATGTGATTTATTTAATAGTTAAGCGAGGAGCATGTACATATATATGTATGTATATATGTCACTCTGCAGCCGGCGACTAGTTATAAATATGAGTATGTGCGGATGTGTGAAAAGGCAGAATACATATGTAAATAAATTTATTAAACGATCAACAAAGGATATTGTTCTTCTCGTGTTAATAAATATTAATCGGATTTAAACACAGCTTAATACATATCTATATATATAAGAATATATACATATAGGCATGTAGTCGAAATATTGCTAGATTAGTACATATATATGTATATGCAAGGGAAGGCGGATGAGAGGTGCCAGTGTATTTATGCATATATATATGTATGTACTACTCTAGACAAGAATGGGGTACTTATCTCGACGGCCGATGGAATGCTGGTGTGAAGGTGGACGAATCTCCGGCTCGAAGGACCAAATGTTGGAGTGGTGGCGTCGCCGATAAGCAAAAAGACCGGGTTGTAATTTCCTCGTCTTTATTTCTAAGATTAAAGCTGTGTTGCTCGTATAGCATTAGTAATAAGATGTACATATGTCTCGTCAGTACCAGGAGAGGCAAGTGAGGCAAGTCGAAGTACTCAGCGGGCGCTAAGTACCGCGAACCAGTAGGAGAACTGGGTGATGTTATTAACAGAATGCTGTTAACAACGTAACATTGTGTGGTGCGGGAGGAGCAATTCTTGTTAATGGGATCTGGCATTAACAAATTATTATTTAAGTGATTTTGCTATTGTTAAGAATCGTGCCAATATTTATATGTTTTTTTTTTTTAACTATGGCTAAAACAAATATTTTAAAGAAATCACGAGGAAGTGGAGATAAATGCATTATTGAAACGTGTGGTGCGAGCTATAGAAAAAGCTCTATTAATTTTCCGGTTAGACTATTTTCTTTTCCATCTAAGGAGATTAATTTAAACAAGTAAGAAAGCTCTAGTCGAGACTACTCGACTACGAGATCCCCTGAACCCTTGGAGTAATAGCTATTTCATTAATTTTTCACGTTTTCAGCTTACACAAGAAACACGCACACACACACGCACGCACGCACACACAGGCATGCATACACACATACACACACACACACACACATACACAAACAATTACATACATATACACACACACAAGCATAAACACGCATGGGCGGCAGTGAGCGCTTACTATGAGAATTTAATTGCTTAATAACTTTTTTCGTGGACGTACGATCTTCATGAAACTTTTAGATTATGATTATAACATGGATATGCATGTAATTGCCAAAGCACAAGTCTCTAGTATTTGAAATACGCTTTTTACAAAAGTGAGGGTGAGGGGGTGAATTTAAGGGTAAATTTTAACAAAAACCGAAATTGTATAAATTGCATATAAGCATACATTAAAAATTTGGAGACTCTAGCATTAAAGGTGTAGAAGATATTATTTTGTAACTGGTTTTCGATAAAGTTTTTTATCGATAAAAAAAAGATCGGAATGAGTTATCGATTTTTAATGATAAACTTGATACGCGCGCTGTAATTACGGACATTTAAAAAAAAATTTGAAGTCTCTAGCTCTTTTATCTTCTGAAATCGACGCGTTCATACATACGGACAGACGGACAGACAGACGGACAGGGCCAAATCGACTCAGCTCGTCGCCCTGATCAAGAATATATATACTTTGTAGGGTCTGCCACGCCTCCTTCTGCCTGTTACATACATTTCAACAAAACCATTATACCCTGATTTCCCTTTGAAAATGGGTTCAGGGTGTAAAAAGTGGATAAAAGCTTGTAATTTACCCAGTAATATCGACTGGAAAAAATCTAAAATTTGCAAAAAGCATTTCGAAAGGAAATACGTTGGTAAATTTAAATTAGGCGTCAATGCAGTCCCAACCTTAAATTTGTGCAAGTCAAACTTTCTTTCAAATAATAATGCTTACGTAAGTGATGACATTTATACGATAGACATTCAGGAAGAATATATTACTCCTTATAGCTATCCAAGGAAAAGTTTAGACAAATGGAGTGGATGACTTTGTGAAGCCATCTGACCCAGAACAGCAGCATCAGTTCAGCAATATTCAAAATCAAAGTGACGAGGAAGAAAGTTTGCAGAATTTTTTGTGCTTTGACAATAGTTTAAAAAATCAATTGTGGCAAGATTTAAGCTCCGGTAGGTCTTCGTTTTGCTCAAATTGTTTAAAAAGAGAGCAAAGCGTGGTATATTATCCGAAAAAATATTATGAAATGAAAGTAGCTCTTCAGAATGTACAGAAAGAGAATTCTAATTTGAAAAAAAGATATTCATCTTTAAGAAATGCTCATAGGCAAAGAAACATTTACCAAAGAGCCAGAAAGAAGACAAAGCATGTTAATATCTTCACGACAATTAACAATTTACCTCACGTTTCAGACCAATCAAAGGTCTTATGTAAAATGCTTTTTAAAACAAGTAAGAAGGCTCTAGTCGAGACTGCTCGACTAGGAGATACCCTGAACCCTCTAAGCTGATATTCTAATAAATCTGCACTTCTTTTATGCACACATACATACACATGCATCCACACGCACGCATAAGCCTGCGCTCTGCTAACTGCGCAGTAAGCAGCGACTGCGCTTGGGCTGCGCTGCAGTGTGGGCAATGTTATGAGAATTTCTTTGTTAAATAATTTCTTTTGTAGACATACGATCTTAATGAAACTATTAGAGCGTAATCATATGGTGAATATGTGTGTACATTCCAAAGCACAAGTCTCTAGTACTTGAAATGCGTTTTTTACAAATTGGGGGCGAAGGGGGCGTGGTATCCAAAATCTGTAAATTACAAAATCTTTGTATCGATTAACTTTATATACAATGCAAATTTGAAGACTCCAGGTCTAAAAGTGTTCAAATTGGGCTAAAAAAACAAAATCAATTTTTTGATTATTCTCGATAAAAAAGTTATCGGATGATTTATCGAAAAAATAATGCAAACTCGTACTGCGTATGGTACACACGAGTATGCATGCCAAATTTCAGCTCTCTAGCTCTTATAACTTCTGAGATCGACGCACTCATACGGATGGACGGGCGGACGGACGGACAGACGGACAGGGCTATATCGACTCAGCTCATCGCGCTGATCAAGAATATACTTTATGGGGTCTGCCACGCCTCCTTCTGCCCGTTACATACTTTTTCACAAAACCATTATACCCTGATTTCCCATTTTCAATGGGTTCAGGGTATAAAAAATAAGGTTTATAACAGCGCTGAAAGAGTTATTTCGCAAAATATTCATTTCTACTCAGCTAGGACATATGATTACCTTAGCGATGTTCTTAATTTAAAACTCGTGTAAGAAGCAATTAAGTCGCTGGGCGATTTAAAAAAATTTAGTTCCTGGATTTAATCCAGAGCTATTAGAAAACTTGAAGGGCATTGTCGAAAAAATGAGCGCCAAGGAAAAATATACCGTATTAGTTTGCGATGAAATTAAAGTAAAGAGATGTCTTCAGTATAATTCATCTCTTGACGAGATACAGGGATTTGAAAACGATGGTATAAAAATGACTAAATTTTTGGGACAGCAAGTCTGTGTTTTCCTTGCTAGGGGGCTGTTTGACAACTGGAAGTATGTTTTAAGCTATACGGTTTCAGCTCGTGGCATAAATCATACTAACCTAAAAAAAAAAATTTGAAGAAAATATTGGACTATCGCAAGCATTGGGGCTTAATGTCAAAGCCGTTGTTTGCGATCAGGGATCCAATAATAGGGCCGTTTTTGATAGATGGGGCATGAGAATCAACAATCCTAGTTTTTTTGTTAACGATAAAGAAATATTTGCGATATTCGATGTACCACATCTTGTTAAATCGCTAAGAAATATTCTCTTAAAGCATAATATTTCCACACCTCAGGGCACAGTTTCATGGCGTATAATAAGAAAATTATATGAAATTGAAACTAAAAATTTGACGCGTTTATGACTGAAATTGACTCCAAAACATGTCAGCCCAAATTGTTTTGAGAAAATGAAATTCAAATTTGTCACCCAAGTTTTTAGCCGCAGTGTAGCTGCTGCGATACGCACAGTTGTAGATTCAGGCGGGTTTACTGATTGTAAAGATAGTGCTCTTGCAATTACATTACATACATTACACCTTTTCGATTGTTTAAACAGTCATGTACTACTTGACAGTAATCCGTATAGATGCGCACTTAGGAAAACAATAATGTCCATGAGTATCTTCAGGAAATGAGAGATTATTTTCATGACCTGAAGTATCCACAAAAAGTATATTGTATTGATGGGATGATTATTACAATCTCATCTATAATTGCTTTAGCGGAAAATATTTGGAATGACAGCAGTGATACTTTCTTTGTTGCCACATCCAAACTAAACCAAGACCCTTTAGAAAATTTATTTTATTTAATTAGAAGTCGAGGAGCAACCAATATTAACCCAACAGTTTTTGAATTTAATTCTATTATATCTAAAATGCTTTCAATGAAAATCTTGGCATCTGTTTCTATATCTGGAAATGGTATTCCAGATGAAGATCTCATGTTAGCTAATATAATAAAGGATAGCGGATCTAACCTATCAGTATTTCATGAGCAGTGTGCCACGAATTCATCTGTAGATCAAGAACCTTTAGATCCAAATATTGAGGTTGAATTATCATTAGATGCAACCATTGCAAATATTGAAAATGTTTTTTATGAAAATGCATTACGATATTTTGCAGGGTATCTTCTCTACAAATTACTACAAAAACTGATTGCGAAATTTGTTCAAATCTTTTAAAGTCATCGGATGAAATGCAGTGTTCTTCTGAGTATTTGATACTCAATAAAAATTTTCATTATATAAATAGATATCTTAAATTGAAGGCCCCTTCTGACCATTTTTACAATTTGATAAAGCTGCATTTCGAAACATTTAGGAAAATTTTCGACACACTTGTTTTAAGCATAGAAAATCTATTCTTAATCAGTTTGTTTTAATTTTAATTAGAAACAGGTAAGAAGGCTCTAGTCGAGACTGCTCGACTAGGAGATACCCTGAACCCTCTAAGCTGATATTCTAATCATTCTGCATTTTTATGCACACATACATACACATGCATCCACACGCACGCATAAGCCTGCGCTCTGCTAACTGCGCAGTAAGCAGCGACTGCGCTTGGGCTGCGCTGCTTTGTGAGCAATATTATGAGAATTTATTTGTTGAATAATTTCTTTTGTAGACATATGATCTTAAACTTTAGAGTGTATATATATATATATAGTGACATAATCATACTGATTACGTCTACAATATTCAGAAGCTGTATGGTCGCGTCATTAAGCTGATTCGTCTTTGCAAGGCGCGCAGCTTCGTTGACCTAGGTCTAGTATTCGGATGATGTGTTGGAATTGTGTGGTGAAATGCCCAACACTGAATACTCATACACTCACACAGCCTCACACAGTGCATAATAGACAATTAGAAGTTGACGCAACATTGTTAATGTGTTGGAATTGTGTGGTGAAATGCCCAACACTGAATACTCATAAATAAATACTGCATAAATACGTGTCAATAGACCTACAATTGTTAGTCTTAAGTTGATATTCAATAAAGCAAGTTGTCATAATCCAACCTTGACTTCGTCTTTTAAATCATATTAGCGTTGCTGTTAGTATATGTCGCAGCATTTATTCGACTCGTAACAGTTTTATCTTAGTGGCGCAGCCGGT